TATATATATATATATATATATATATATATATATATATATAATTTTTTCCACATTTTAAGTTTTTAAATCTATTTATTCAAATAGCGATGATATTCTTGTGTTTCGCGATTATTCTTTTTTCATGATGCCTTTTTGCATTTGTTTGGTTCGTTACGACGGGTACCGCGTTTCATTGGCCAAATATTTCGAATTTTCGACGGGTCGTTGAGTTTTGTCGTAGTAAAAATTAAATTAAGATGATACATCTTTAGCGTTCTTCCTTTCTTTTTTCGTTATTTTTTTTTTTTTTTTTTTTTTTCTCTCTATGCGGCCCGTGAAAACTCTCCTCGATCTTTCCAATTCATGATGATATATCGAGGCTCTTCCTTTTTTTCCTCGTTTGCTCGTTACACCTGTACATATTTGTAAAAAAAAGTATTAATCTTAAAGATATGAGTTTTATTATTATTTTTACTTATCAATTGGTATCATTGAGTCGCAAGTTAAATTTCACATCCATCTTAAACACTTTTAAAACCTTTTAATCGGAAAAATTTTAATGACGTTTGTTTTTCTTTTTTCGAAAGAAGGAATTAAATAGTAAAATATAATAGTTCATCTGAATAATAATAAATATAGTATGTCTGTAGAATATATTTTATTTATCAAAGGGATAAATTAAAATTTATGTAGTGGATGTAAGATATTTATATAATGCTAATAGGTCACGAATAGGGAGATTTGACAGCAAATCTCTATTACGGTTAATCATATACGTACGTTTCTAAAGACGACAAGATGACATTCGAAGTGGCGAAGGGTGGAGTGTCGATGGTGGTGGCGTTTTTACAGGTCAGACCTCGTCTCCTGGACGAGGTATACCTGAGAACCGGGCACGCTGGAAGTAGTGACGAAACTGCGGTGTTTTGCACGGATTAGAGTCAAATTGCTCTCAGCTGTGTCAGCTCGATCTTCAGCAGCTTCCAATTCTCTTTGGAATCGGCGGACCCTGGTCACGCTCTGTTGAGACATGCCCTCTTGCTCTTGCAATTGTCTCTTGTAGAGATTCACTTTCTGGGACGCTTTGTCCAACGATTCTTGCAACAATGCAATATTTTTCGCATCCTCTTCAACTTGGATCATCACCTCCTTGATGTTGCGTTCTTTCTTGCGAAGAATCTTTACGGTTTCGGAGTGTCGGCGCTTCTCTTCGTCGAGTTCTAGCTCCAAGTCGCGAATCTGTGAGAAAAATGTCGAATAACATTAAATTTTATACATGGAAACGAATAGTTATGACGTGTCGATGAAATAATAATTTCGAAGTAATATAATTAATAGTAAACAATTGAAAGAAAGTCTGAGAGTGTATTATATCGTTTGGTTATACAATAGAACTTCTTCGAGAAATATCAAGAATTTATACGATGAAAAATTGAATTGATTTGTTGCAAAATACTTCATTCTTCATTCTATGAATTTTTATTCATAGAACTAAAACTTCCCTCTTTTATCGTCATCAGTAGTTTGCTTATATCTAGATAGTCCGTTTAAAAAACATTATTTCGTATATTTTCTAATTATATCTAATGGAAATAGTAATGGATTTGATAATGTGATATGATATAATAATAATGATAATAATAAAAATAAAAATGAAAAAAGATTGAAACTCACCCTAGCCTCGAGTTTGCTGATGATACGCTTACCACCAACGATAGCGTTTGCTTCGACTTCCTCCAACCTCACGGATAGGTTTTTCACTTCGATTTCGAGGGATTTCTTAATGGCCTCGATCTTCACGATACGCTCTTGTTCCTCGTGCAAAATCTCAACGGTATGTTTCAGTTCAGTTTGTACCCGTTGGTATCTCTCGTCGCTCACTCTCAGCTCCTTAGTCACTTCCTCGTAATCGCCAGCCAGGGTAGATAGCTCTTGTTCAAGTTTCGCTTTTGATGTGACGATATTCGCGTTTATAGTAGTTAGCTCATTGATGCGGCTAACCGATTCCTCGTATTGTTGCTCGACGGTTCTCTTTGCACGGAGGGCCTTTAAAAATTGTATTGTAATTATATTGTTTATCGTAACGTGAGAAATTGTTAGTAATATTAATAATAGTTGTTTGAAATAGAGTTTTTTTTAACTTTACTTGACGAATAAAAGATATATGGAACTTCAATATCTCAATATGTCTTGAAAAATGAAAAATTGCTAGGATTTAAATTGAAAGAATAAGTAGATAGGTTTTTCCTTAATTATTATTATTATTAAAACAGTATTGTTGGAGGAATTATTCTTTTGGATATAAGGATGTGTGAGGATGGAAGAAAAAGAATAAATTATATTTATGGATGAGAACATAAATAATAAGATAAAATTCGATATCGATTTGTCATTGATATAATTTTAATTTTAGATTCGTATATGTTGTAATTACGTCTTATATTTTAAATGTGAAACGTAGTGCAATTCGATAATTTTATATTTATGACAGCGAGGTCGCACGCTATGTGCGTTGCATCATTAGAAATAAATCTGTCGAATCGTTCGGCAGATTCAAAATCCTAACGATTGCATCATTGATCTGCATCTGGCTTTAGATTGTTTTTTTTATGATGTTAATTTGAGAATTTTATTTTTTATTGAAATTAGAAAATATTTCTGCAAAAAATATATTTGATAAATTCTCTTCATATCGTGAAAATTGAATTAGGAAATCTTAGAATTTAATTATTGGAAAAGATTGGTAGATTTTAGAATATTTAAAATTTTTTTTCTAATTTTCAATGCCGACTACAGGATTTAAAAATAGAATAGTAACAAAAAGTCAACGAAAAATTGGAAAATTTTGTGTCATTGATTAGAATATTTAAAGTTACCGTTCAACGCGATCGTTCAAAGTATTTATAGCCTGAAATCAATTGGCCATTGAAGCTTAAACAATGTAAAAGTCTGTTGTTTCGTTCTTTTGTTTATTCAGTGTTAATTTACTTTTCTACACTATTATTTAGTTTAAAGAGATAATGTTCTTTGTCAATGTGACAGAAAAATAACAAAAATAATTAAGAAAATAATAGAAAAGTTAGATTGTGTTAAAAAATAAGGAATTAAGAGAGATAGAGAAACAATTTGAATTTAACAAAGAATGCAAAAAAAAATTAAAATAATTTGTAATGACTTACAAGTCGATAAATTCAATTAGCGAAAGCATATGATTTAGTATAATATTTTGTTATATTTAGACAATGATAATAACGAAATATGATAATAAGATCACTCGTAATAAACTTTTCATTTTAGGAAATTATCAAAATATCATATCAAATAACGAAATGTTAAATTTTTCTAATAAATTAAACTCACAGAATCGTAATTGCCGCGCACTTCCTCGAGCTCGGCTGTCAATGATTGCAAGCGTCGTTGACTGATACCCAATTGGTCCAGAGTAACCTGTAGTTGGCGTTGAACTTCATCATAGTGGGCTTGGAGTTCCTACAAAACAAATTCATGTTTCAAATTTATAATTCCTTGCCAAACTGTCAATCTTTTCCGACTGCCACCTGTCATCCATATTTGGATGACTCGCAAGTTTTCGATAGGGTGTCATTATTCACAGGTGGGTGATACACCTATGTGTCGAGTTAGAAATCAATCATTTTGGCAGAACTTCAAAAGTGATACAAACACAGATACGTTCAAAAATGTTTAATTAAAAATATATATCATTTGCATTGATTGTACGCGAAGAAAATGGAACTTGAACGTTTAGCACCTTTAACAAATAATCATTGAAATTAATTAGAAAGTGATTAATTGTACGGATTCGTGTAAAATTTCGACATTTTTTCATTAGAGAGGATAGTTATACGTGAAATTTCGATATTTTCCTTCATTTTCTTTAGGAAAAAAGGATGCCAAAAAGTATATTTTTAATGAAATTCGCTTAATAATTTTTAAAAAGTATTACAAATTATGGAGAACGCATCCTCTTTCAAATCGAATACGCAATATTTTCAATCTTATCTATTTTACTCGAATAAAATATATCTTACGAATAGTTTTATTAGCCTGATGAAACTTTTATCTACTTATAGAAATAGGTTTAGATCGTAGAAGGCACTTAGTCATTAGTCTTAATACGATATCGATTCTTAATATAGCAATAATATATAGCAATAAGTATAGAAGAGCAAAAATGTTAGTTATTTTCTAATTTTATCTTGTATCTGTAAGATGGACGATGGAATAACGAAAATATATAATCAACTTACGGTCAAAGTGAGCGATTGTTTCTTGATGGTCTTCTGCAAATCGATGTTGTTCTTGTTCGCAACGTCCAGAGACAGTTCCAATTCGGTGATCTGGATCTGTAACTTCTTCTTCACGCGCTGCACCTCGGTCTTCAATTTCGTCTCCGCCTCGACCACGCGTGCATTCAGCTGCTCGATCTCGATACTTGTCTGCTTGCTAATTTATTTCATTTCGTATTTAAACATACCGTATGATGATCACCCGGTTCAATCGTTTTTTAAAGGGTTTCACAACGGTGTATTATTGTTTCCAGGTGACAACACCAAGATTTTCCAAATCGTCGAAAGATACCACACCTTTTGTTCGTTGGTATTATTTGTCTTGCGAGGAGCGATCCTCTCGTCGTTGAGCATTCAAGGTTAACATGTTTAGAGATATTTGACATTTTACCAGTAACGTATTTAGTAATGAAACGAGTGTTAGATTGCCGAGGTATTTTTCGTGCTTTGCCTATTTTGATACAGGGTTAGCTTGGATGTTTCGATGCATGGTTAGTTTGGCAACGGATGGTATAAACATCTGTATTATCACAAGTGGAAAGTGTATTTACGTAACAAGGAAAATGCGTTTAATTATATATATATTTCAAAGTTTTTCATTCGATGCTTGGAGAAAAATGATGATTATTTCGATAGTCTATAATTTAAAGTACGAATTTTTAATTGTTCTAAATAAAATTTAGAAATAGTCAAACTTGAATGAAAATCAAAAGTAAAAATGATGAAATTTGAAAACAAAATGATCGCTGTTCTACGCAAAAGTGCATAAGGAAATGAAAATTTGCAGATATTCTAGGCAAAATTTTATCAAAAATTCTATAAAAAAAAAACAACGAATCTCAAAAAAAAAAAAAATTCTAAAGAATCTAATCTAAAGATTTTCTTCTCGAACTAGTTACACTACTCATAGGAATTTCTCATCTAATCTACAAGCTCCCGAGGATCAAACAGTCCAATTGATTCTCTCATATTTTATCGTTTATTCTTTCCATTGGTCCGTGTCACATTACTCTTACCCACACGGCTAGGTATCTAATCTACTAGAATTTCCATCCTTTTAAGCGGGCCTGATTCCCAGGCATCCGTACAATCGTCTCGGTCTGGTCGGGTGTCGATACCTCTTGTCCAGGAAGTAGCTGCTCGACTTCTCCTCGTATCCTTTCAGCTCCCTGCTCAGGTTGTCCAACGGTTCGGCGAGCCTGTCCTCGTCGAGTAATTTCCTCGTTCTCTCCTCTATATGCCTCAAATGTTCCCTGGTATCCCAGCAATAACTCGAGGAGGCACACTCCTTCTGATATTTTCTGATATCGGCCAATTCCTTACTCCTGTTCAAATTCTTATAAGCCTCGGCCGTCAAATGGAATCCGATCGCCCTCGCCGATTTTCCTCGAAGACTCTTCCCAAATTCCAAGGCGTTCTCTACCTCGGAGAGGGTACGAGCGTCTCTCAGAGATTGGAAATCGATGTCTGCCATTTCACGCTGCAGTTGTCTAGCCCTGGCCTTGGCGCGTGCACTCTCAACGAGCAGAGGTAACGGTTTCAACTTGATCTCCTCCAACTTCCGCGGAAACACCTCTCTGGTCACGTGGCTGGCTTGCGCTGTTTTGGCCAAGCTGAAGTCCGACCGATTCGCTATCTTTGGGAAGGCGAAAGTGGCGAGTCAGTCCCCCGCGTTGGACACTCCAAGATAGACGGCGAGTTGTACGGTGGAGAGCGAAAGCGACGAAATTCTCGCGAACGCGACCCTTCCCTTTAAGATCGTTCCGTGGTTCGAAGGCTGTTTGCCTCAGCCTAAACTTAGCCGCAGCGGTCCAGAATTCGAAAGTGACCGATGCACACTCCCGATCGACTCTCTCTAGAGACTCGAGAACGACTGCCAATCCGAGCGGGCTGCTAGATTACCAGCCCCGGGACACACGGGACGTGAGATGGATTTTTCGATGTACGCGCCTCGAGACTTGGCACCCTCGTGAGTTGCGTCCCGATTTGTCTCTGTTACTTCCATTCTCAGCCGAGGAGGAACGATTCGAGGGGGCAGGGGGAGGGACCGGAGAGGGAGGGGGTGGCAAATGATCGCTTCCGGGGGATATTTTTGTTTCCTTCCGCGCCGATTTTGAATCTATCGGAGTCAGGCTGTTGGACGATATTAATAACAATGAGATTTAGGAATTCCCGCTTTCTAAAACGCAACCGATTTCATTTTACGCCGGAGACTCACTGCCAATGGCTGCGATGTGGCCGTGTTAAATTAAGATTCGGTGACAGTGAGGCGATTATCGAGCATCACGGGTTATTGGAGCGGAATATAGAACGCGTATTGTCTTGGAAAGTTTGATCGGCTCTGATCGATTCAAGTTTTGAAATAATTCTATGCTTTGAGAAATATTTCCGATTGGTAAATTTTTAATATGGGAAAAATTTTATCTTTCTGCCTATTTTTCAAAATTTTAGATCGTTTTGGATCCATTTTGAGATCAAGAGATTATATTTTGATGTTAAGTAAAAGTAATAGATATTGAATATAAATATAAGTAACTTATTTTTGGATATTAACAATAAGAATTTAAAATAGCAACGAGGAAGCTTGTTTCGACATGTATAGAATATAGTAAATTATATTCCTTAGAGTTTTATCTATTTTTAATAATATTATTATTTTTAAGCTGGAAAATAGGTATATTGTTGAAGAAATCGATTATAAAAAAAGAATTTTAATATTAACTCGTGTGTTTAGAATTAATGGCAGAAAAATAATAATTTTATTTATTTCACAAGATAGTGCCAATTGTCAACTTGATTATATATAATTTTGAAAATATGTATATCGTTATCATTACAACATATTGTAATAATATATTATTACGATATATCTTCATTCTTATTTTAACATTTCGAAGATATATTGAGGAAATTGAATTTTATCTACAAATATTTATATTGCAAAATATCCATAAAATTTATAATTATCAAATATAATTTTTATATTCATCAAATGAATTTCAATACATATTTTTTTTAAATTATCTCATTATATTCCTTTTTATAAAATTAAATTATTTTATCAATAATATATAATTTTTTAATTAGATAATTTTTTATTAGATGAAAAACAGAATATTTCTCTATATTTTCTATTCGCCTTTTATAAAGTTCCTATGACTATAGAAATTCTAATGTTTTAAATTTAAAAAAAAAGTAGCATCATTTATGAAACGACTAATATTTTATATCAAAGACATAAAAGTACAAATTATATATATTTTTTTAAGTAAAGATATTAGGCGAAAATTGATTTTTTATTTTTAACTTCAGATTGAAACAATATGAACAACAAAATGAAACAATAAAATAACTTTATAAATTTAAATTCTGAAATAAATATTGCTTAACATTAATTTTTTAACCATTGGATGTTAAGAAGGATGTTAATAAATTTCATAATAAAATAAAATTAATTTAAATTATAAATTTGCAACACTTATCGATATTTCAATATCCGAAAGTAAGTGAATTTTCATTACCATTTATTTTTTTTTAATCCTTTGGCATTATCTTTTTAAAAAATATCAAGAAAACAAAAATTTTCGATCTTTAAATTTCATTTCATCAATCAAATCAAATCAACCAAATCAAAGTTCCATTTAATAAGAAATTTATTATATATAAATTAATTAGAAATTTTATGGATATTTTGCAATATAAATATTTGTAGATATAATTCAATTTCCTTCGTCTTCAATACGTCAAAATAATAGATGATGTATCATAATAATATTATTTACTATTGCAATATGTTATAATGATAAATATCTTGAGATATATTTTAAAATTATGTATAATCAAGGTAAGACCGATTCTCAGAGCCGATTCTCAGACTTTCCTCTCGAATTCGTTCCTACATTCGACCGACAAAGATCCGTCCAGAAGCCGACAACAGCCTCGCGAGGCATCCGTTTTCGTTCATATTGGAACAGCTCCTTCCGTGGCGCCAAATTTAGCGGAGGAAAAGGTCAAGCAGTCGTGGAGGCGTCTAACCGCTTTTCCACGCTCGACTCTGCCCCGACTTTCGCTCTCCTATCTCGATTCGTACCTTGAAATGGGTTAGATGATCCCTGGCCTCGTCCTCCGCGTCGATTGCCCGCTTGATCAATTCGTGTCTCGAATACGGTTCCACGGGTTTATCCTCCCATAAAAGCCTTCCATCCGACCATGGTAATTCCGGTGGTTCCGATCTTCTACGGTATCTTGGTAACGATGAAGGTCGACCTTCACGATCGATGTGATCCAGCATCGGTTGATAGTAATTGATCCCATAACCGTAGTTCTTATCGTAGATATAGGTAGGCCAATGCTTCCATTTTGTCTCCAAGGGAACGTGCAACGGGGGCATGTAGCTTGCCATTTTTCCTTCTTATTTTTCTAGACTTTAGTTTTTAGATTCGTCGATTTTTATTATTATTATTATTATTATTATTTTCTTTAGATAGATTTCTTTGCGAGAATTCTTGGTTGGCAGAGATATATTGTTCTCTGCACTGAAATTTTTTGAGGAATGAAATAGTTTTTATATTATAATAATGTATTTCGATTTTTCTTTTTCTCAGTTCTGTCTTATTATAATTATGATAATAGAAATATGGATCTTCTTTAGGAAATATTGACCACCGGTAAATTCCTTCTAAACTTCTTCGAAATGTTTACTTTGAGGGATATAAATTTTTTGTGTGGGTATTGTTAATGTTTCATCCAACATCTACCTTGAATAAAAAGGATCGCATGTTGTACTTCGTGCTAAGGGTGTTAGATATAGGATTTCGTCATTGTGGGAAATTCGCAGATATTTTACTCACGTGTCTTTCATAGTCGTACAATCGGAGATGACACTTGCAACGAAACGGTTAAGAAAAATTGGGCCGGTTAAACGCGATGCTATCTTTTGTAGCTTTTTCTTACGATTGCTACATTGGGAACGGCCAATCAGCACCTCTCGGTTAATAATTAGATCGTGACTGATCGGTGTTGAACGACGTTTATTAATAGTCGGATTGCGCACTGTTTGTGCATCGTCGATATTCAGCTCAATTATTGACCCAAAACGTGACGACATTATTCAAGATTTCGTTTCATTGAATGTTGGTTTTCTTATGAAAGTAATGTGGTATTCTTTTCAATTAAAAGTTCGAGCATCGTATGTAGTAATAATGATATTATTTCTTTGAAAAATATAAATATATATTTTTGCTATTTGTTTAATAATATAGATAGATAGTATAGATAGATGTTTATTATAAATCATTATTTTATAATTAAAAGTTCTATCAGTAATCTTTTTAATCGATTGAAATTTTCACAAATAATCTTTTTAATTTTTAAAGAAATATTTTTTAAAGAATAGTTAGGTAATGAAATTTATCTAATTCATATTTATTGTATTTTTTGCAAATTATTTTACATATAAAAGTAAAAGAATATGTTTAGTTTTAATAGTTTTTTTGTTTTATTTCTCATAGTATTTTTAAATAGATTGTTATTTTTAATGAAGGATTTTGTATTTTCATATTTTCAAATATAATTATACAGTCATTTTTTTATAAATATTTTTGTTTTTCAATAAGAAAAATATTATTTCTTTGTAGCACGTGAGCTTCATTCATAGTAAAAAGAATATATCGATCATTTGATATCTAATATAAGTCTCAAAGAGATTTAAGCCAAGAAAAATACAAGTATTCGCGTTCGGTCACGCGTGTAATCCGTGATTTTTTTATTTACACTTCCGATATAAATGAATATATAGATCACAGGACATTCCCTTGAACGTTGGACCGATGAGACACTGAGATACTTTGAGTGATTAATCGATATGACCAATCAATGATAAAATTAGCCATTTTTATTAATAGCTAGACGTCATCACGCGATGATCGTACCGGAAATAAAATTGATTTCATCAGTAATAAATTTTAAAAATTCGTACTCTCTTTTATAGATTTTTTCTTTGCAATTGCAATGGTGGAATGTTGAATTATAAATTTTTTATAACGCTTACGTAATTTCAATATGTATCGAGGGATCATTGTATGTAAATCTAGATCGTAATTTTTAGAATAAAATAAATAATAGGATGTTTATAATTTATAGGAAATTTAGTTTATAGGAATTTGAATTTTATATTGTTTTTTATATATTCTGGATTTTTCATGGAGTTTATTAATTTCAATTTTGTGATATTAAATTTTTATGTTAGCATTTAACAATTGACGTAAAATTGCAAATAGAAATACTTTGTCAAAAGAGTTTGATTTATGTGACTTGAGAAAATATTCGATTTCATCGAGTAGAAATAGCTTTGTACAAATAGTCATATTCGTTGAATAGAAATAGCCACATTCTAGATGTTTGTTCATTTAAGTTTTGGCTTCACCTAAGCCAAATATTTCTCGGAAAAAGCAATAGAAAAGAAAAAGGGTATCGTCCATTAATCGGTCAATATAAATATGCGAGAGAAAAATCGAAAATAAGCTTTGTAATAATTGATTAATTACGGATATTTTTATAAATCTCGATTAAATTTAGAATAAATGAATATTATAATTATAACGATCGTTAAAGATCATTATATTATTAAACGTATCACCTGGAAACTATTTTCACCGTAAATCATGCTTCATAGTAATACAGAATTAGGTTTTAATATTAGGAAATTAGAAGTTATTACATTGCAAATTACGATAATATTAATTAAATAAAATAAGAGTAAGCATAACGCAAACAATTCAATGTACTTACCGAATGATTTCGATTTCTTCATCTTTCTCAGTCAGACGACGTTCATAATCGTGACGAAGTTGAGTCAATTCGGCAGACAATCTCTGCGAGCGTTGTTCTTCAATTTTACGTCCCTGTAATCGATTTAATTTATTTTATAAACAATTCTGTATCATATTCTATACAGTTATTAGAAATAATTAATTTGAAAAGATCATTATATTCGTATGACAGGTTTGAACATATTTAAAATAAATTTAGAGATCTTAGGAGCAGTGTATACTTTGAGAAATTTGGAAATTTACTTCCTTCTTATTCGATTACGAAATTATTTTTAATAATTATAAGATTAAATTCACGTGATACAAATTTTACACACAAATTCAATAAATTCAAGATAAAATTGAAGATTGGGAATATAAAAATATCAAGATAAATATAGTTTCACTTACTGCTTCGGCTTCTTTATAGGCAGCAGCAAGTTCTTCGCGTTCGTTCTCCAATCGGCGGAGTTCAAGTTCCAATTCGTGCAGTCTGCGATTCATGTCAGATAGTTGATTTTTAGCATCGTTCAAGTCATCTGGAAAAATCATACAACAATCATTATAAAATATATTTCTATAATCTCGTTCATAATATTTTATTCAATTTGGAAAAACAAATAACGAGTTAACGATTAGTTAGGGATTTATGTATTTATATAAAAATAATCGATTATTTATAAATATACGTATAAAATCGCTTACCTCCCAATTTCTTGTTTTCACGAGCCAGTTGATCTTTCAACTCGCGAGTTTTGTCGAGTTCAGCGTTGCAACGCTGAAGTTCCTGTTGTTTGTTGCGGAGATCACGTTGGCTTTGTTCATACATTGCCATGCTTTCATCCAAACGAGCCTTGAGTTCGACATTGATCTTCTCTAATTGTTCCACGCGTTTCTGCAGTTCGCGAGCTGTTCCATTTGCCTTAAGAATTAAACGTGAAAATTAAAGATTAAAATTGGAATATATCGTGGCTCATACATTGCATATTACAAACTTTGAACTCTTACCAGGTCGATTACTACATTCCACAGTTGCCAAATAGATAAGAAAATTGTTAATCAAAGTTTATTTCAAAAAATTTCGCATAATTTGATATATTTATCTCAAGTTTACTGTTTCCTTCAAAAATTAATATTTTTGACAGTGTTCGTTAAACAATTTCATAAGAAATTATTAGGCAGTAATTATAATAGTAGCATGAAATTATACCTTTTCCAAATCGATGATCAACACTTCTACTTCAGATTGGAGACGAGATTTTTGCTTCTCGAGATTGTTGATCTTCACGAGTAGAGTTTCAATCTGCTCTTCCTGTTCTTGAATGCGAGCACTGTACTTGCGACGCAACTCCTCTACCTGTAGAATTCAATCCACGTTTCAAAACTTAATCAAAGTTTCATATTGTCGTGTTTATATTATTAATTTCGATGTATGCTTGATAAATAGCGTGTACTTTTTATTGCTTATTATAAGTAATTAAATTCTATTTTGATAAATATGGTAATCGAATATATAATAATAACTGGTTAGTTTAGTTTCATAGTTTCATAGATTTAATATTTTTTTTTTTTCAATTACCTCTTCGGCACGAGCATTAGCTTCGGTTTCATATTTAGATCTCCAAACTTGCACTTCACCATTGGCTTTGACCAATTGACGTTCAATGTCCAAACGTGCCTCAGATTCTTCTTCCAATTGAATACGAACAGATTCCAATTCCGATTCAACCTGTTGACAATCGTTTAAATTATTGCATGCATTGTTTTTACAATAATAACGTGGAATCAAAAGAATATATACTTGATGTAAAGAGGCCTCGACCAATGAACGACGACGTTCCTCATCCTCGAGACGACGACGAGCATCGTCGAGTTGACCTGCGATCTGAGTTTTCAGGTAGACAGCGTTCTCGATGTTAACCTACAAAATTTATGATGGAATAAATTGTCAGAGAAAAATTATATAAAGATATATAGAGATGGGTTAATTATATACGATGGATGGATTATTTCATTTGTGGATCTTATTGTTTTTTAAATTCTCTGATTCCTTAATTTTTCTTGAAATTAACGTATATATCATAGAGAGTATTTATCTATTGTGTTTCTAATCATATATGTAAATATTATCGGTTTTTAGATTGTTTTGTTATTATTGATTGGTTGAAATTATGTTACGATTTTAATTATTAAATATTCCAAAATATTAGGATATCTCTTTATCAATATGAAAAATGATGTATTTATGTCGTGTATGAAAAAGTTAGGAAAAATATTTACTTTCAAATCTTGCACTTCTTTCGTCAATTCAATATTTTCCTGTGAGATCCTGGTTTTAACATTGGTGATGTCGATGATGGTACGGTTTAATTCTTCAATTTTCACGTTAAGTTCAGCTACATGTACTTCGAGCTTTTCTACAGTCTTTATCGACAACAGCTTTTCTTTGGTGACATTGTCAAGCTGAGCAAGGAGTTCATATACCTCTTGTTGGAACTTTGATTTTTCCTTATCAGCCCTGTAAATATTGTAAATTACGCGTTAAAAGAAGTTTTTAGAACTCTTAGAACAATTTTTAATCATCATTTACAATATCTTAAATGTTTTATTAATAGTTTGTCGTTGTTCATTGTTTGTACTTTTAAGTATAAATAAAAATTTATAAAAATAGGATAGAATTTGTAAATAAAAAGTTTATGAGGGAATTTCTGAATTAATTAAAATGAATGAGGCATTAATAATATCAATATCAATTGGATAGGAGCAAAATTTTCTTCTTCATTTATATCATTATAATATAAACTATTATATTGATTATTAAAAATTAACTTTTGTCTCTAAAGGGAATAGTTCTGTTCTTCTATCTTTATTCCTTTTTTTTCATCTTAACAAATAATTTATCTGAAACTACGAGGAATTCAATAAAATTCTGCATAATGCATCAATCATCATAAATCTTATAACAATGCCAACAGAAACAGCAATTGGAACTTCCCTCTAAACAATGTCTAAAAACAACATCTTAGAAAACATAGATATCATAGTATCGAACTATGATGCAAATGTCTTGTGCATTTATCTAAATCATCAATCATCAATCTTTTATTATCTTTAGGATATTTATTCTTCTATATTAAAATTCTGCCATTAATTAAATTTTTCTCAATTTAGGATAAAAATACACATTACATATATTTTTGAAATATTCTTGTATCCCTAAAAAAATGATAAACGGTCAAAGATAGCATAATAATAAAATTAATTCTTTAAAGAGTTAAAAAAAATCTCGTCGTCTATTATTTATTTCTATACAACTCATATTTAAAATTCTTATCATAATCTTCGTTATCTAAAATAAAAATTACACAAGAATTAAATCGATAACTCAGAAATAGTACGCGAAATAATAAGAGAGACACGATTCAAGCCTTAAAAAATAAGAAAAAAAAAATCCGTTGGAAATAGAGATATAACGTAAAAGATACAGGGTGGATCGAATCGCGGCGATATCGGTGGTCCACCTACACGAAACGCAGAGAGAGGGTGTAAGGTGTCGGCCGATTCCGAGGATAGTGGGGATCCGGGCCGGTCGCCTGTACTAATATGGCGTGGCAACGCAGGGTTGTGGATTGCCGCGCGACTCGCGCGGTTAAAAATAGTCATAAGCCGAGTAGCGGCTGTGAGAGCAAAGCGTCTCGCGGGAGGAGTAAGTAGGGGAATAAAAACGTGAGAAAGAGAGATAGAGCGAGGGAGGAACCGGGATAGAGGGGAAGAAAATCGTAAATGGGAAAGTTGCGAAAATCGAAGGAAACGATGAAGGAATTACAGAGAACGCGAGGACGAATAATGGACAATGATATTAGGATATTTAGTGTTCGTTAATTATATTCGTAGGAAATTAAGAGGCAAATGTATATTTAGAACGTAAATAAGGAGGGAGGATAAGTAATTCATTTGTTTGTTATATTTGTGAGAGTTGTATTTATCAAATATCGAGATGCAAAATTGTATAGGATAGAATTAGGGAGATGAACATTGATATTCATATTATATCTATAAGGGTGCGGAAATGTATAAAATCTATACGAAAAATATTGAATACGTGGGGTAGGATGAAAATAGATAAGGGAAGTGTGGATGTTGACAACGAATTATAAGAAATATAAAGAGAAAGAAATGTATAGAATATCTAAAGTACCAATTGCAATATTCATAAATTAAATAAATTTTCATTTAAATTTCATTTCTTTAGTTATAAATTTGCACAAGTATCCACAATTTTCGAGTAAAAGTATCCAAGTAAATAACGACAAGAAAAAAAAAAGAAAAAGAATTAAAAGAAAAAGGAGGAGAAAGGTTCAGGAATGAAGGAAGAAAGTGGGAAGGCGGGGAATTTGTAAGGAAATGAGGTTATGGGTTGAAAGTGAAAGCAGTGGGGAGGGTGTATAAATACAACGAGAGAAAAAAGAAACGTAAGAGAAGATCGCGATCGAGGTAATAAAAGTAGCGAGGATAGAGAATTTATAGAATACGTAAATTGGGATCGAGAAAATGTTTATCGAGGTAGATACAGAAAGAATGCGAGTAGAAAAAAAGTATGAAATTAAACGAGAGAGTAATAAGAAAATAATGGAAAATCGTGCAATAAAAAGATAAAAAGAAACGAAAACAGCTTGAAAAATAGGGCATGGCTATTTTAAAAGGCATTTTAAACGCTTTTCTCGTACCAACAGGTGGAAGCTTCTTCCAACACTATGCAAATACGCTAAATACTTCACTTGTTTCTTTGTCACTTTTTCTTTTTTTTTTCTTTCCTTTTCTTCGATGTAATTAAATTAAATGTAAACGAGAAAGAATTGAAGATAAAATTTCTGCTTTTTTTTTTTTTTTGAAAAGTTACGGAAATTTATAGAAGATCTATTTTACGTTTATAACGTCGTAACTAGCCTTCATTTATTATTTCCAGACACCGTTAATGGTGACTGGACTGTTCTATTTCGTCGGTTGAAATATTAAGAGGCAATTAGCTGTTGCTTCGTCGTGACACCGATGACGTATAAATGTCGTAATTGCTTTCGCTGGAAAATACATTTAGAACGGAATCTCAGTTGGTCTCCGATTTCAGACCGGATTCTTGATCAACTATTCTACTTGTATAGCTTTAGATTCTCGAAAGAAGCGGACTTTGTGCGATCAGAAGAATATCTTGATGAAAGAATTTGATTCTTTGTTTCTGATTTTTCGTTTATTTATCAAAATTTAAAAAAAAATTATTGAATCATACAATAAGAGTAACTTTAATTTTCCACGAGTTATCGCTTAGATGAGTTTTAATTTTTCACTGATTTTGTTTTTCTGTGTATCGTGACATGGAAATATTGAAATTTAAGATTTCAATAACTTAGTTATTCCTTAAAATACATCTAATATTACATCAACATCAATCTTTTACTTAATATTATATCTTTAGTAGACAATCTCTCTTAAGATCAATCTAAAGTTTCAAAAATTAATAAGAAACAAATTTCGTACACTACAAAATGATATTTTCCATCTTTCATTTCAAATTTTGCAATCTTTCATTTTATATATTCTTCGATCGACTTCTCATCAAAAACCTCAAAGATTAGGAAGGAATCGAATATTTTCAAAAAACAACCCTCCATTCTATATAAAACAATACAAATCTTTCAAACAAATAAATTTACTCGATCAAAAATTAAACCTTCGATCTAAAGCCTCAAAAATTAGCAAGAAATTAAAAGAAAAGGATATATCCATATCAATAATAATATCGTTTAAAACAACCCCCCTTCCTCATATATACGTATAACGCAAAATGAATTATCTATCCTGTCTTCTGTCAACGAGGAACAGATTTAGAAAAGGTCCAAGCTTTCTGTTACGCACAGAAAGAGCAGAGGATAGTAGACGATGTACGGATGACAGCTCGGTGAATTTTCGAAACGAAGACGTCCTTGTAACACGCGTATCGCGCATCAGGGCGCCGGGACATCGGAAAGGACGCTTGGTTATGTTTAGAAGTGCCGGGGTAACGAGTCTACATGTATTTCAGGTGCGAGTAGGTTCGTTGTTTGGCCATGTGCCAGTATCGTCGAGCATAATTCCCGCAATTTTCGAATACGCTTTCGTTCCGCGCGATGCCCGCTATAATTAACGAGCCATCCTCTGATTCACCCTTGTTTCCCATTTCGTTTCTTTCCAATTCCCTTTCGAACCGTGTAACATGTTCAACTGCGTTTCACCATTGATTCCATGATATACGAGAAACGAAACTGGGTTTCGACGAATCCACGAACTTCCGGCCGAACTGTTTATTGACGCTGTGCACGCCGCTCGCGCGCTTTGACCTCAAAGAGCGGGATCGCGAGGCCGCTATTTTATTTTCACAGGTGTATATAATTAACTACGATTTATTGGTGTTCTGATTTCCAGCGTTTCCTACGGTCTATCGACATGTGTTTCGACCACGAATCGCGTAGTTGGGATTTAATATTGTTTTAAATAAACTCGATCGACGAGGAGTAATAGAAAAATATTTATACGAAAATATTTGTATATATCTTAGTAATATTCGACGAATATTTAATTTGATTGAGTTTAGAAATTATAGAAATAGTGGAATATTCCATTTATATAGCAGTTTAGAAGAGGAATTTTGGTTAAAATATATTGGTTAAGTTTGATTTTAATTTAGATTAGGTTTGATTAGATCGAAGGTATGATTTTATGTCGAAATGATGCAAGAAATAGAAAAGGAGTTAGGAATATGGGGAAGTGTATTTTTGGGTAACTCGAGATTATTTTAGAGGTACGAATCTATAGTTCGTTAATGTTTGCGTTCGACGTGATAGTTGGATTGGAAATAGATTGAAGATATATTAAAGCTGAATGAATAATTATGTAATTGATTCAAATGATATGTGACGATTGCATTAAAATAAATTGTATAATGTGCACTCGTGTTTTTATAAAAAAAAAAGTATACGTTAATGTATAGGGTTTAGCGAAGAATCTATTTTCCTTAAATAATGTAAAAATAAATTTGAAAATTGAAGAATAATAATTTGAATTAGTTTACTAACCGTGCACGTGCTTTCGAAAGTTGATCGATCTGATCTTGGAAATCAACAACGACTTCCTGGTGTTTTTTACGCAGAAGATGCGCGGTTTCCTCGCTCTCGAGATGAACATCTTCGAGTAGTTTGCGCAATTTGGCCAGTTCCGTGTCCCTCTTCTTGTTGATCTCGAACTGTAGGATATTAATAGATACGATTATTTTCAATTTAAGGAAATTTAATCAGAAGAAAATCTAAGTATATTGAAATTGAGGATGAATCAAATTATTGGTATTTCATTAGTTTTGAGACTTACTTGAGATTCGGCGCCACCCTCCGCCTCTTCGAGACGTTCGGATAGCTGGATGACTTGCACGCTCAAATCGGCGCGCTCACGTTCGATCTGAAAGTTAAACAGAAAATTAGTATCGGTGAAAAAATATATCCATATATAGATTAATAATTTCAAAGTCAGTATTTTTAGAATTACGTGTTAATGAAATAACATTTAGGAGTTAAACGTGTGATATACATAGATTTAGAAAACGTATGAATAGATTATTCATTAATTGCGATCTCTGAATTAATTTTTTCAATATCGTGAAATTTAATCTTAATAAAAATGAGTATTTAAAATATTAAAATCGAAATTATAATTCATACGTTTATATAAACAGAATATGTTTATCATTAATGTATATTTTGCATTATCAGCATCAATATTAAAATCAATAACATCAAATAATCCTTCATTTATTTAAATATTTTTATAAATTTTCCAATTTCTATCTCGATTCCAAACATCAAACATTTATCTCCATAGTTTCAAAAAGCTATTAAAAAAAAAAAAAAAAGTAAAAAGTCTCTTAAAATATCATTTTAGAGAAAAAATATACTATTGAAAGAAAGAAATAGTAATTTCTCGTAATCTTATTTTACACGATTCTCTCTAAAAGTAAGAATTAATCGAGATGGCGCTGGTGTTGATACACGTCGAGTGTAATCGAGACGCGCGGCATTGTTTTGGAAAGAGGCCTCGAGGAACGACGCGAACAGCTCGGTACAAGCTTGACGTCAGGTTTCTTTGGACCGCGAATAGAACGATCTAATTCTGTACAGACCGACTCTATATCGGGAGCTTTATTCATATTACAAACGAGGCGTTTATCGAGAAAAGAGAGTCGCGCGACATCGCCATAACTGTCCGTTCTCCGGAAACCACTGACATTCACCATACTTCCTGGTCAATTAAATCATTTTCGATAAAAATACGATTTCTTGATGAAAGAGAAATATATTTTGAATGTTTAGAAATGATTTTAGAAATTAATTGATCGGTATTTTAATCCAGAAGAGTAATGATCTTTCGATATTGTTATTTATCGATCTTTTGCACGAATCAAAAGAATAATTTTTAATAGAAAAGGAAGAATTTGAGAATAGAGACATTGTAATCCAAGAATTCGAAGAGAAGTAGATTTATATTATATAAAATGAAATAATACAAATTTTTAGATTCAATAGTAAATTATATTTATTGATATTAAAATTAAATCAAAAGATTAGAATTTAATTTTAATTATTTCAAAATTGATTAAAAAATCCAATTAATTAATTTAGATTTAGATTTAAATTGATTAGATTATATTATACTATTTGATCGTTTATTTCAAAAATAAGTATTTAAATATAAAAAAGCAATTCAAATAATATAATCACAATCAAATTAATAGGATTTCACAATTATGTAATAAGAAATACGATCTAAGCAGCGTGGACTGTTTAATCTTCGCAAGGACAATTAAACGAACATTTTATAATATAATACGTGTTAAATATGTTCATAATTCTTAAGTTTTTTACGCTTTCAAAAATGTCGTTGGCATAGGTTCAAGTCAATTATCACGGGCAGTATTATATCTGTATCAAATCTGATTTCCTCGTACTTTGACCGAATAAATAAACTAAAGAGATCTTTCTTAATCTGATGTTCCATTTAAACACGAGTCTCCAAAATCTCTACAATATTACGTATTATCCACAACAAATTGAAAGCTTCAAACAATTCTAAAACTTTTTTGATTCTTAAATATTAATTAAAATGAAAATGATTATATACGAATAAAAATTATTATACTCATATAACTTGATAATTAATGGAGGAAATATCAAGTTCGTAGTACAATCTTTCTCGTACGATATAAAATTTTAATAAATTTAAAATTTGAAAAAAAAAAAATTAGATTTCTTAATAGAAAATTATTCAACGCAATTTTAATTTAAAAGCTAATTCATTTCGTGTTATATAAAAATATACTGTTCGATAATTAATCGAAAAATAAGATTCTAAGAAATTTTAATTCTTAATTCGCGTCATATCATTCCTTTTGATGTGAATTTTGATATAAATGTGAATTTTTCACGAAGGTATAGATTTTTTTCTAGTTCTTCTTAATTTTTATTAGTCTTTTTAAACAGGTAGATACATGTTGGCCGAACACGAAAGAGGAATGCGAGTTCGTACGCTGAAGAGACGCGCATCCCCAAAAATAGCCGCGACTCGAGAGCTGGACATTTCGACCTACTGCTCCCCACTCTATGGTGGAGAGCAGGCCAGCCCCGCTTTTTTTGTATCAGTTTCAAAATTCACAATACCCGGATTATATAAAGTCTCGAAATTGACGTTTATCTTCGTCCACCTTGGTATTTTTATCTACGAGATCTCAACGTGCGTTTAACTCGAACTTTTTTCGATATTTCGCGAACCATACTGAAGAAATTTATCGGAACTTAACTTAATCCAAACATTTTTTTTACTTTTGATAAATAGTAATTTTTTAATAATTGTTTAATTGCATGAAAAGAATACAAGTTATTCGCATGCTAGGAATTCTCTATCGAATGAAATGAAAAGAAAAAGGAAAAGACACGATAAACGATATTTCTCTGTAAACAAGGAAACCACACACTCGATAAGAACGTAAAATAAACGATTGACTATCAAACTATCAATCGATGTCTGTCCTTTCGATTTGTAAACTATTTGATGAGAAACCTCAAAGGAAGAAAGTTCAAAGGAAACTCGTTCAAAAGAAAACTCACCCTCTGACGCAGCTCTCTCTCAGACTCCAGGTCATCCTGCAGCAGGCGGATTTTGTCCTGAAACGAGAGGCAAGAAAGGATTAGAGTGTATCACAGGCCACGTTACAGAGGGACGATGCTTTACGTAATCGGCCGACGAAAATACCCAACAGGCCGACGCTCGGAAGGTATTTCAGAAAGACGGACAGCCTCTGAAACGGGCTGACCCACGTAGGGTACAGAAGGATCTTCGTTCTCAGCGACCGTCCATCGTGATCGTTTTCAATCAAGGAACCAAGGAGCGTGCACTTGTCTCTACGTTGTTCCTTAACGAGATCAATATCAAACGTTCTTCTCGAATGGAAAAAAAAAAAATAAGAAGTAGAAGAAGAAATAAATAAATAATAATGAACAATCTTACTTGACTGTATGGACGAGTGCACGATTCCTGATTCTTCTACATTTCCTTTCTTTCTCTTGTATTTTTCGTCGAATCCACGATATTTGAATAATCGAGGTAGAGAACGATCCATAAGAAGATCCGGATGAACGTCGATGAGATATTCGACGGGGACGCTTTGTGAATTCGTTTCGAAGATGTCACTCTTGCGTGGCACGATCGTCATTTAGGGCCGATATTTACGACTATTTTCGTACACGAGCAATTCGATAGCCAGAGAACCGTCTACGACACTTTCGTTTCTCGTCAGGATTGGCACTAATATTCCTTATGGTCACTGAACTTTCTCGCGTCTCACTGTCCCCGAAATCGATCACTGCTCGACGTTTCACCTTTTCACCAGCGATCACTTCCCCTCCAAAGATTCTCCTCGTTTCTTTCCTCGTGTCGTAGTTCAATAGTTTACCATTGCTCGAACGATTTCTTCGTAGACTCTTGAAGCGTTCCAACTTCTGCTTCCCACTTAATTTTGCATCGTATTGCATCATCGGATGAGATTTCGACGATTGCTAGATTCGCTAAAACCTTGAATTCTTCGGATCAAAGGATCTAATATATTAGCCATTTCCTATCTTTTCAAAGATACTTTAAACTGTTTACAACGAAATGCCTTGGTTGTTACGTAGATCGGACATTTATAGCCTAATTGCGTGTTTCAAGGATCCCTCCTGTTCTCTCCCTATTTTTAGTAACTCGATCAAAAATATAATAGCCGTAAGCAATATTTTTATCACCAACCAATTCTTAAGAAATAGATAATTTTTACTGCTTCCTTCTTCTAAACTAAAAAATATATATATATATATACACATACAATCTTCGACAATTAAATATCACATTCAAATAAAATAATTAAGTAGAATTGAATTATTTACCTAAGAAAACAAATTTTGAAAAAGGAAGCAATATTATGGTACATATAGATATAACATTATTCCAAAATATTTTGAAGAAGAATGAATAAAAAATCATTCGTTCCACTTTAACCTACCTCCAGTCTAGAGAGAGCGCTCAGGTCGGCGCTATATTCGATGCTAACATCGGCAGTACCACCGCCGGTGGAACGGTACGTGTATTTAGAAGCTTTAGCGACCGCTGAAGACATCCTGTCTGCTTGGTTCACTCACGATATCGAAGATAGTTTGTTCCTTGTTTTTAGCGCCGAGAGATAAGTTTCTTCCTCGCTTTTCTTGCAGCCTCGATGGCTGGATCCCCAGTCGTTTTAATTTGTTTCAAACAAAATTATTAGTCGTTGACGCGTGAATTTCTTCTTCTGCCACTCTTCTCTTCCTCCTCGCCGCTACTTCTTCGGCTTCTCGTCCTCTTTCTTATTCTGTTCTTCTTCTTCCTCTTCTCTTCTTCTTCTTCTTCGGGGGTTTCGGAGCCGACCAGCGCCCTACTCGTAGTGCGCGACCCGTCGTCGTTCGTATGGCGCGCCGGCGGCTCCATGGCTTCGTCAAAATGACGGTCGCACGCATGCGCGCTAGATCACTGACCCCCACCAGGAACGACGACTCGTCATCGCGATCGTTCCTTCGATCGTCGAGGGGAACCACCAGCGGACGACCACCACCGTTACTCTAACGCCCACGTTTCTTAGCGTGGCTGCCAAAAGTTGGCCTGGAATTGGTCGTTCCATGTTCAATCGCGTTTCTTTTTCTTTTTTTACCATTTTACGCTCGTTTTTCCTTTAATTTTCATTCTGGGAACGGATATGCGGATTTCGTTTCATTTGGTTTTATTTAGGTTTAGTTGTTGTGTTTACTAGGAAGATATGTTTGGAGAAATAGAGGGGATAAATATATCAATTATTTATTGTTATATTTAAAAATATTGATATTGAATTGAATCTGAAATATATTTAAGTTATTGTTATATTGAAAAAAATATTGATATTAGTTTAAAGATTCGATTTATTTTCAATTTTATTGCTTCATTTCTTTCATATTTAAAAATCTCTTTTTCTTGTTTTTTGTCTTTTACAAAATATTTTAGGCTTGAAGAAGTAGATATTGTTATTATTGGATTCCAGCCAGCAATTTCCTTGATGCAAAATTAAATCTTATTTTAAGCTGTCACTTGCATATTGCATATTGTTTAACGTTGTATATCGCATTTTGCGTAATTCTAACTTATCATATTGTTCCAAATATTTGATATCAATATTTTTGCGTTTTATTAAAATAAATTCTAGCAAGTACATATGTACTTTTTTTCAAATATAATATGTTCTCGTTAAAAATAATATTTCACATTTAAAAGAAACACATTTCTTCTTAAAAGTTTATTTAAAATCTAGTTAATTACGTTCCTCTTCCTTCGCAAAATATTTATCTGACAATATTCTTCAAAAATTGATTCGAAAATGAACATAATTTTCTTTCGTTTTCCAAAATTTGTTCAAAATTTAATCGAATAACGAGAATTGAAAATTTTCTATCTCACGAAAACTCAATTTCGAATAAAGATATTTCAAGCTCAACAGGTGTACGATCCCCAATCGAAAATGATGACACGTAAAATTATCCTAAGACTCACAGTAGGGTAATAGACAAATGGAATCAGAATGGTTTCTAGCATTTCACGTCTGGCCGTTCGTGGAATTATTCGACCAACGTTCGACCTCTGCAACAGTCGTCTCACATCGTATACCGATTTAGATATGCCGTACTTGAAAAGCAGCAGGGTCATCGGTTCCTCTAGCGGATCGATGAGGGAGAGTCGTTGACATGTTCGAATCTATAAGTACGTGGGTGTCGAGAAAACGAAACAATCGCGATACGTCATCGACCTGTGCCATATCGAAGCCAAAAATCATTTTAGAATCGTCGAATCATCCGCAACTATTTTTAAGCAACTACTCACCGCATTAGGAATACGTTTTATAATGTTACAAATATCAGAATCGTATCAGAAACGAATTGTTTTATAAATAACAAATATGTACAGCAGATGGAAAGAGGTTGATCGATTGGTCAACAGGTGAACGATGAATTCTTGATGCATAATCGTTATTAGTGGGGTAAATTGTTGATAATCTCGCGATTAAACGTTAAGCTTTTCGCTATTTACACTCGATGCATCGTTGTTTATGTTACAACAATATTTAACGAGAATACCAAACATGTTTTCATCAATAGAATTGCGTGTGTGAAATTTGTTTAAAATTCCATTTACAAGGGAAGATTAAATGATAATTATATTTTTGATGATATAAGCGAAGTTATCGGTGGATGCCAATTCGTGTTGATTTATTTGTTTGTTTATGAACTGTGTCCTAAGCTGATCGGATATTAGGGATTGAGTAATATAGAGAATTAATAATAGAATTTATTTTTATACTCTTGTATTATTCTCTAAAATATTTAATGAATTATAAATATATATATATGTATAAGAATAAATGATCTAGAATTATATATATATATATATATATATGATTTTAGAATTATTAATTCATTAAATATTGTTGAAGATAGCAATTTGTAACAATTAGGAGATAATAATTTTAATAGAAGGGATAAAATAATATATAGAACAAAATATTAATATGTACTCATGATTAAAATAATTTCATAGATCTAAAAGATTGCCTTAAAAAGGAAAATCAAAATCACGAAAAACAGAAAGAGAAAATTGAATCTTTTTTAATCATTAACCCTCTTTAATCATTTTGCCTCCTAATCTGAATTAATAATAGATCTTTAAATATTACAATCTGCATAATAACAAAATATATTTCTTATTAATTTTATATTATAAACATATCAACGCTATTCCATTTGTACCGATATCGTCGTACTCGATCGTTTACCCATTCTACTAGTCGGCCGTCTGAAACAGGAGCTTCCCATTCTACTAGCGTTTCCCTCACCATCGCCGTGAATACCACCCGTATTTATATCTTATAATCCATTTTCCTTCAGTCGAAACAACAAGGGACAACCGAACCTCTCATTTTCCTTCTATATCCTCAAATTCAAATCCTTTTTCACCATCATACATAAGATCATCATTCACCCATCACTTTCGTCCAATCAAATTAAAGGAATAAAAATTCGTTTAAAAAGAAAATAACTAAAAACTCGAAGAATTTTTCGCAAAATGAAACTTTCAGTTTTCACCAAAATTTCCTCGATCCCCTCCCCCACTCCCGTCGAGTGTCTATAAAAGGTCGGCGGGCAATGGTGGGCAAAGATGTTCGTTCGGCCTAGCCGGGAGCTCACCAAGTAATTTGAGATTGGCCCCTTCTCTTTGTACGTCCTCTTCATCACCTTGCTCCCACTCCGCAGAGCCACGTGGCTCCGTCTAGCGGAGAATTTCTGCTACCATCGTGAAAAGCGTATCGGAAGAGTTTGGACCAGAATAACTGCCTCTTTCTTTCTTTCTTTTTCTCACCGTCGCGTGACTTTTTACCCCCTCTGGTCACTCTTCTACACGAAAGACAGTTTCAAAAGTTTTCTTGACCGCTTATGTATCATCTATTGCGTCCAAATCTTTTCGTATCCGTGTTTCCGATCCGTGTTGGCATGTTTCGACGGATATGCGGCCACGACACGGCCTACCTACTGTTCCGGTTTGAGTTGATTATGTTTACAGAAGCGGTGAAAGTCATGGGAAAAGAATTGAGAACATTTTTTGAGAGGAAGATATGATTTTTTTAAATTTTAAAAGTATTTTCTATTTTTATTTTTTTGAGGAGAGAAGACAAGAGACGAGTCAAAAATGGTTTGGAATTGAATTCGCATGGAATTTATTTTTAGAATTAAATTTAATAAAATATATAATTCATCATAGTTATAGTATTTTTGAAGATAATAGATAGGATTTTTTTTTAATTTTGAAAGTATTTTGGATATGAATAATTTGGTATGTCAAGGATAATTTAGAAAGTAATTTATTTTTAATTTACTGGAAATTAGCTTTTATGTGTAATTTATTAGATTTTTTGTTAGTTGAGTTAGAAGAATAGAATTAAAAGAACGATAAGAGATTTTTGCAAATATTAAAAATTATTTTTTGAACTGTTTTAAGTATTGATCAGAATATTTTGTTAGATTGACGATAATAAAAGTCTTTTTATTTGTTTGTGGAATATGAATATTAAGAAAAAATATTTTTTTCAATAGTATCGAATTAATGATTAAATTCATAATTAATCGAAGGCATTTGTAACATAATATAGATTTAAACTTTAGATTATTATTCGTTCATACAATTCATAATTTTTTGACTCACTTTTCAAGATATTTAGTTTCATCATAAACCTGGTTATGAGTTAGCCTTCAAACAGTCGTTGTACTGTGGCAAGGAATTGTTACTAAAATATAATTGTTGCTATACTCGATAGAGGCTGAAAACTAAGACGAGATCAAAACTGGGACACGTAGTTTTCAAAGCATACAAAATATAATAAACAAGTTTCTGCCTATTGTCAATTTCACTGTTTTCGTGTAAAAAAAAAAAGAAAATAAATCATATATAAAAAAAATCAAAATGCTAATATTAAGAAAATAATTTCTAGACTATTACTGAGCAAATATTTTTATTATAAATTATAGATTCCTATTTCTAATGACAAATTTAACTTCTTAGTTTATTTTATATCTTAATATTTTTAATTTTTAGTTTTTAGTTTCACAAATTTTTATTATTGTCAATCTAACAAAATATTCTGATCAATAATTAAAATAAGATAATTTTTATAAATTCGGAAATAAAGATTCAAATGGAATATAATTCAATTATGGAATTTCAAATTTCAAATGAACATACTTTCACAAATTTGTCTGTCGACGTCTTCAAGATTTAATAGAAGCAATTTTCTAAGTAAATTTTAGAAAATTATTTAGAGAATCGAAACGATTTTAGATGTTTTCAACAGAAGTGATATATGTCAAGCTGAATGAAATCATTAGAATTTTTTTTGGTCACCATTCGAAAATCTAGTCAGATATTAATTTTAAATGTTTGCAAATATCTCGTTTCGGTTATGTTAATGATTAAAAATAATTATGATAATGAAATTAATTTCTAATATCGATGAAAACCATGTTTTTTTTAAAAAACAAAAATTTATAAATTTATTTACAATCTTAAAATCTTACAAACGAAAGTTTTTTGTGAATGCATAACGAATTAAACATTTTTAGTAGAATATCATTTAAAATGAATCCTTAAATTTTATCTTTAAGGATATAATCTGAAATATATCTACATGTTCGTCTGTAATGGTGTTTGAGTTGTCGGATGAGCACACTGCCCCAATTTTCTAAATATATCTACCCGCGGATTCACTCTCTCATTCGGTTTAATTCCCTTAAGAATCGCAGGTTGAAAGTTCTTGACTTCTGAATCGTATATTGTGAATTCTTTTTTTCAGAAAACATTGATTTACTTGAATCAATGATACGAATTTTTTGATACT